AAAAAAAAAAAAAAAAAAAAAAAAATTGTGCTTCAGAAGACACTATCAGGAAAGTGATGACAACCCATAAAATAGACAATATTTGTAAATCATATGCCTAATAAAGACCTGTTATCCAAAAGCTATAAAGGACTCTTAAAACTCAACAAAAACCAGGCAAAGGATCTGACCAGATAGTTCTTCAAAGAAGATATATAAGTGATTTGTAAGCAAAAGTTATGAAGGAAATGCAAATCAAAATCGCCATAAAAATCTACTTCACACCCACTAGGATGGTTATAGCAAAAAAGGCTATAGCTAGGCATGGTTGTGCATGCCTGTAATCCAGCACTCAAGGAGGCCGAAGCAAGAGGATCAAAAGTTCAAGCCCAGCCTGGGTGACTCAGCAACTACTTAGTGAGACTTTGTCCCAAACTAAAATATTTAAGGTTTCGGGAGCTCAGTGGAAGGGCCTTGGGTTCAACCCTAGTGTATGTATGTAGGGAGAAATGAAATAACTGGTAAGGATGTAAAGAAATTGGAAACTTCACATACTGCTAATTGAATCGCAAAATGGTACAGCCACTTTGAAAAAGTTTGGTGGGTCCTCAAGAAGTTAAACAGAGTTATATTAAGAATCAACAATTCTATTGTTTGATATAACCAAGTGAGTTGAAAACATGTTTGCACAAAAACTTTTACATGACTATTCACATCAACAATATTCATAAGAGCTAAAAAGTAGAAACAACCAAACCTCTCATTGGTGAATGAATGAATAAACAAAATATGGCACATCCATACAATCGGGTATTATTCAGCAATAAAGAGGAATAAATTACTGACACAGGCTTCAACATGGATAAACCTTGAAAATATTATGCCAAGTGAAAGATTTCAGATGCAAAAGGCCATGTATTATATCTTCCCATTTATATTAAATGTCCAGGAAAAGCAAATCTATAGAGACAGACAATAGATTAGTGGTTGCCAGAGGCTAAAGCAGAGAGGAATAGGAACTGACTATTAATGGGTATTGAGGGAAGGATGAAAACTTTGTGGAATTAGGAAAATGATAGTTGCCTAACTTCATGAATGTGCCAGACACCACTGGATTATTTTAAGGGTTAATTTTATTATATGTTAGTTATATATCAGTTAAATTTTCTTAGGTACAAAGTACTGTTTTCAGCATTTAAATGAAAAAATATTGGTTTTATGCTCCTGGGAACCATGAAAACAGTGTGCCTGTAATGATCTAATAAGTGCCTGTGTCTTCCTCATTTTATATTATTTCTCCCCAAAACAATAATCTGCAGAGCTAAGACTCTGCCCAAGCCTGCAGGATTCTAAAGCTTTTATCCACCTTCTATACCAATAATTGTTGCTAATTTTCTGTACTATAAATCTTTGAGAGAGAGAGAGAGAGAGAGAGAGAGAGACTAGGGATTGAACCCCCAGGGCCTCACATATGCTAACCAAGTGCCTACCACTGAATTACATTACATCCCCTGCCCCATTTATTTTTTATTTTGGAACAGGGTCTCACTGAGTCGCCCAGGCTGGGCTTGAATTTGCCATCCTCCTCCCTCAGCCTCCCCAGTAGCTGGGATTACAACATGCACCACTGTGCCCCACTGTGTATACTATAAATCTTAATTGTCACAGAATAGAAAACTATCCCAGAGCCAGAAACATACCCCTTAAAAATGCAAAGAGAGGAAGGAAGAAAGATCTCCAAAGACATTCCTCAATATCATTATTCATGTTTAGCCAAAGGAATAAAACCAAGAGCAAAACACATGGCAGCCCTGCCTTAGGGTGCGCAAGAAGGTCAGACGTGTCCCAGACCTCCCAGTCTCAAAAAGTGAGGAAGGCCCAGAACCAACTCGAGAAATTCTCATAAAGATGGAGCAGGGCTGAATTGTGACATCATGTCATGACCTCATGTCAGAGGTCACAGGACAGAGAAGAGAGAATTTCAAAGCAGTGTTAATTGGGTGAATGTTAAAAGTGAATTAAGGGCCAGGGATTTAGCTCAGTGGCACTGCACCTGCCTCACAAGCAAAATGTCCTGAGTTCAATACCCAGTAATGAAAAAAAAAAAAAAAGTGAATTAAAAATTTAGGGTCTGTTTTTTAGGAAAAGATTGGATAAAGAAGCCCCTACCCCCCTGACAGGATCTTGCCACGTAGTTCAGGCTGGTTTTGAACTCCTATGTAGCCAAGGCCAACCTCTAACTTGAGATGATTTTCTTGCTTCTGTCTCTCAACTGCTGGGATTGCAAGCATGCACCACCATATCCAGCCAAGTTTTCTCTTTAGACTCCAAGAAAATAACAGACCTCTGTGTCTTTGGTTTCTTACACCTGGTTAGTCTCTTATGTTGAACGTTTGCTCAACCCACCACCATTTAAGCGCTTTACATGAGTTGTCTCATTTAAATGCTTGGGACTCCAAGTCGTGGATAACTTTTACCCCTGTTTTACAGAGAAAGAAACTGAGGCACTAAGGATGAAGTAATTGAGTCCTATAGAGAGTCCAGGGTTAGGGCCAATTCCTCATCAGTCTAACCCTCTCCAGTATCATGTAAGAGGATCTGAGTTTGCTGTAACAAAGACAGAGAAATTCCAATAGTTCTGACCTGAAAAATGAAGCGGGAAGGCCCTAGGGAACTTAATATTAGAGTCCCTGCCCTAAGGATAGGTGAGAATGAGAACACACACAGTGGGGCTCGACTCCATCCCTTGTCCTCAGATGATGGCGCTGAGGGCGAGGAGAGGACAGTGTGTGATCCAGACCCAGGCCATCGAGCAGGGAGTAGGAGCCAGCCATGAAGTAAGGCTTGTTACTACAGAGGTTGGCAGGGCTACCTTCAGTTTCCGGCTGCCACGGGTATCCAGTGGGTGTCCAGAAACTCGTGAGTTCTGGACTTCCCAGCGGGCAAGGCTTTTCCTCAATGGCCACATCTCGAAGGCACTCCTGAACCAAGCCCTCGACACATAGAGGGTAGCGGTGGGGGGACAAAGGCTCTGCCCAAGTCATGGATAAGACTGGGTGGTCGGTAGTGAGCCTCAACCAGTATAGAAATAGCACTGACTTCTTGCTTTTTCCTTGTCATTGTACAAGGGGTGGTTGAAAAATACTGATTGTTTAAATTTGAAAAAATTGCTATACTAAAACACATATTGCCATTAACCTCCCTCATAAATCCTTCCCTTGCCTCATACTTATCCAATTGTTTTTGCTACTTTCTGAAGAAGGTCTGGAAGTCCTTCTTTATGAGTGCTGTTATGAGGGATGACCAAAAATACAGTGATTGAGCCGGGCGTGGTGGCGTAGGCCTGTCATCCCAGCACTCGGGAGGCTGAGGCAGGAGGATCGCTGAGTTTGAGACCATCCTGGGATATGTAGTGAATTCCAGATCAGTCTCAAATACATAGTGAGGCCCTGTCTCAAAAAACAAAAACAAAAACAAAAACCAGTGATTGCTGCTGCCATGTGCCTTCCAATGAAAAGGCAGGCTTGTAAAAACAATAAATGTGATGTCATTCACCCTGTCCTTCGGATCTGGCACCATGAGACTTCTGACTCTTCCCCAAAGTTAAAATGAACATGACGGGTAAATGTTTTGAATCGATTTATGACATCCAGGCAGCTAGAAGAGCAAGACTGAGGATATTCATGAAAAAGGACTTCCAGGACTGTTTCAGAAAGTGGCACGAGCGATGGGGTAAGTGTATTTTAAATAAGGGGACAGCCAGGCCTGGTACCTGTAATCCCAATACTTGGGAGGCTGAGGAAGGAGGATCGCCCCAAGTTCGAGACCAGCCCGGGCTACATAGTAAGTTCCAGGTCAGCCTGAGCTACATAGTGAATCCCTGGCTCAAAAAAGAAAACAATAAAATAAAATAAGAGGGTGTGCTTTGAGGCGTATTAATGACAATGTGTTTTTCACTGTAATAAGAATTTTTAACTTAAACACAAGCCATAGTTTTCTACCATACCTGGTGAATGTGCTCATCATATAGCTCTTAAAAGTCTGTTATCACGTGGGAATCTGAAAACTTGGATTGGCTGCTGTTTTTTCAAGTCAAGGCTTCATCCTTGCCACCACCTCAAAAAAAATCTGGGCTCTACCACACTGGAAGCACAATTCTAAGTAACTAACATTTAGATTGCTGTTAACGCTGTGTACTGACTAAGCAAAGCTTACAGCATAGCTGCTATCGTCACCACCATCACCATCCTTCTGTTTTTGTGGGGGTGGTTTTGAGACAGGGCCTCACTATGTAGTTGAGACTGACCTGGAACTCATTGTGTAGCCCAGGCTGGTCTCGAACTCACAGCGATCCTCCTGCCTCAGCCTCCCAAGTGCTGGGATTACAGGTGTGCGCCACGATGCCTGGCTGACCCTCCCTCTTATACAGCTAAGGACACTGAATATGGAGAAGCAAATGAGCTGGCTTGCTGTTGTCACACAGATGTTAAGTCCCACAGCCAACTTTAAGCCCAGGCAGTTGGAGTCCTGAGTCCACGTCACTGAGCCCAATGCTATGCTTGGGCCAAGATAACTCTTTTTTCTTTTTGGTACTGGGGATCAAACTCGGGTCCTTGTGCTTGCAAGGCAGGCAGTGGAACCGCTGAGCTAAATCCCCGGCCCAAAGTTCTTTTTGTTTGTTTGTTTGTTTTTATTTTTGTTTTTTGAGACGAGGTCTCACTGTGTAGTTGAGACTGACCTGGAACTCACTATGTAGCCCAGCCTGGTCTTGAACTGACAGCAATCCTCCTGCCTCAGCCTCCTGAGTGCTGGGATTACAGGCTTGCACCACCATGCCCAGCTAAGCTCACTCTTTTTTCAAGGACCGTGGTCAGTTGGGTGTGTATGGAGAAATAGCCAGGTGACCTGTGCACTCAGTTTCCCTGGTCAGGGCAGCCCAAACAATACCATAGGTCATTCAAGGGTTACCTGAAGACAGACTCCTACCCAGGCTTGAAGTTGCTGACAGTGTAAGATATTTCTTGTGCTTCTGATCCAAGGTAAAATTTGATTTACAATAATAGGCACAGAATGATCATGTTTATACTTGCAACCTGGCACTTTATTATTATTCCCCTGAATAACAGTGAAAAGAGTTTTGTAACCCCAAGGTAACATGGCTCTGTAAGAAGGAAAGAGGGGTGAGATTTAGCAGCAGCTGCCATCATAAATCAATGTGTGGCTGTTTCTCTCAGAGCTCCAGGCTCAACTCCTGGCTGTCATAAACTTGAAAAGGGAAGCCCCATGAGGATTTATGTCACGATGGGAAGACTCATTCTCCTTCGTGCAGGAGCCTTTCTGGAGCAAGGAGAGAATTAGGCTCATTAGATTCTATAGGAAGAGGAAAAAAAACCCAAACCAATGGTTTAGAGGAAGGGAAATGTGGGTCAACTTGAGCTACTTCGTTTCCTTGCCGAAAAAACTGACCTTGTGCACAGAGAAGAACATGCTGAATTCCACCAAATAAGCAAGTGACTGTGCGATCCAGGCTTCCTCTAGGGTGGTTCTTTCAGTGTGAGAACAGTTCAGTCCCGGAGTGACCCAGAAATGCTGAGTACATAGCAAGGCCAATCAACAGAGTCAGCTTCTGAATATTCATGCACAGATGATGCACCCAGTCAATATGTTAGATTTTTGTGTTTACTGGTACATTTTCAAATTCACTGTGCAAACTAAAATTCGGGGGGTGGGGAGGAAAGACAGGAAAAAAATTCTGTTGAAAGCATACATTATTTCTGAACAGGCTTGTCAGATAAAAATACTTATACCAAAAGGGTATTCATTGTTTTTCCAGAATTCAAATTTAACTGGGCACCCTGTCTTTTTATTTACCAGATCTGGCGACCGATATCTAGTTAGTTACTCCAAGGAGGGAGCCGAAGACAGTTTCTCGGGAGCATTCCCACACCTGAGAGTAAGAAGGTAGGAAAACCAGAGATGTCTACGAAGCAGACAGAGGAGTGTGGGGAAACACAGAGAGAGAGCCAGGTGAGGACTGAGCTCCCGTGACCAGTGACGCAGGTGTCAGGGAGAGGATGGCACCAGGAGGATGCTGGGCAGGAGAGCATCCCAGCTTCCTTTCCATGCTATGGAGCTGGCTCTGGAGTCGGGCCCTTGTAAGGCTCTGGTGCTTCTGAGTTTTAATCAGGGTTCCCAGTGAGGTTAGGGTAGAGATAGGGTACATATCAGAACTGCAATAGTATATGCACATTTAAATTCATGTAACAGAAGTAGCACCCCTTCCCTTTGAGGGCTTGCGGGGAGAGATGTGTGGGTAACCTTTATTAACCCAGAACTCACATGGTCCAGTTTTGGGACTATGTTATGGTTACCGAAGAATAAAGTAAAAATTTAAAAATATCAATCCTCTCTTGCGTTTTGTTGAAAATCATGAAGAATATAGTTTGCATCAACTCATTCAAAAGTCTTTGCTGCCAGGGATTTTGCTCAGTGGTGCTGCTGCCTGCCTGGCAAGTGCAAGATCCCAAGTTTAATCCCTGATAGAACAAAAACAAAAACAAAAACGAAACAAAAACACAACAGTTAGGAGATAAAATTGTGTACGTCATAACCTCTGACCCAGTATCACAACCCCAGAATTATTCCAAGCAAATAATTTAGATGAACACTTGAAAAAGAAGTCTTTCTTATCTCCACTCTACTTACTTTGAAGCCTCTGTTGTTTTCTTGTGTACCCTTCTGCATAGTTTCTTCAACTTTCAACATTCCCTCCTCCCATCTATTTTTAATTTTATTTTGTTTATCTGCATATCTTCTTTCCAACAAAAAGATTCATCTAACTTCAACCCTATGCCCAAATAATCTGAAAGATGAAGTCTTTTAGGAGAAGGAGTTTGAATTGCACTTTTCAGAATGTCCCTTGGCAGGGGAGGAAGGGATGAATTATGAGTTTTCAAGCCCGTGAGCCTGGTATTCTGCAAAGCTTTTCAAGTGATTCTGATACCTGGCCTGTATTGAGAACTGCCATTCTTCTTCTTCTTCTTCTTCTTCTTCTTCTTCTTCTTCTTCTTCTTCTTCTTCTTCTTCTTCTTCTTATTATTATTATTATTATTACGTTTTTGTGGTACTTGGGATTGAACCCAGTGGCTTTACACTGAGCTACATCACCCACTTCTTTTTATTCTTTGAGAGAGGGTTCCACGAAGTTGTCCAAGTGAGACTTAACTTGCAGTCCCTTATGATCCTCCTACCTCAGCTTCCCAAGTCCTGGGATTACAATGTGCCCAGCTCTGCCTGTTTTTGTTTA